GACACATTTTTAAACATCTTAGATCTCCTTCTCTCCCCAATCGTAATGGAATATAAAAATACAAGCTGCGGTACTCATCCGGATTATGAACTTGAAAAAATGTGGGAGGGGATGATATGATAAATAACGCAAAAATTCTAACTTTCACACAATTTATTTATAACATAACATAATATTACAATATTAATTATTGCCTCACTAAAAGTTTTGTATAAGCTTTAAGAACTCACTGTGAATGTTGGGTGTATAAGACTGTTCAACCTAAGAGTTACCATTTAGTTTATTTAGAGATTTAATATTTAATGATTATTTGGTTTTCGTAACAAGAGTGTTAAAAATTAATTATTTAAAAAGCGATAGTTATGACAAGTTTCGTTGTGTAACTCTGAACGAATCGTACCTTGTGTATATAGTTTAATTACTGTACTAGGCTTTTGTAATATTGTTAACGTCATCTTACTTGAAGCTTCTAGTTTTTGTCGTTATGTTCAATATTGTTGTTACTAGATGGCTAAATATTTCTAAATTTTCTGTCACGTGTTATAAATACATGCAGATACAGAACGTAAGTGAGAGAGATAGACATATCTAGACTGCCTGATTGTTAGTTTACCTGTAACAGGCTATACCTAAAATGAGTTTCACAGCTTGTATTGTAACAACAGTGATAAGGAAGAATAATTCATCTTGTCAGTTGGGTTCTAAAGTAATTGAACCATACTGTGTGGACTTTTGACGAAAAAGAGAATTATTTAAAGCTGTAAATTCAACTGTGGTAAACAATAATGTAACGATTTTTTTTTCTTTTGTATATGCATTTGACTTGTTTTGAATATGTTATTTTAAAAACAAGTGCTGTCTGTTTATTGTTGAAATGTATCAGCACCGAACTACTAGAGGAAAGTCGTAGTACAAATTGTTTGGTATCTGTTTGTTTTTTATATTTCTCTTAATACAAGTTATATCATTTTGTGAACACCAACGAAATGCTTCATGAGATAGAGTGTATTTATCACTGATCAATCATCGTATTGACTTTTCTGAATAGTAAATTCGTTATTTTTCATGTAAATGCAAACAATGTTAGAATATTTAAATTAGCTTAAATTTTCTACATATTGAGGAAACTAAAACCTGCAATACATTCATTAGATAAGCATAAACATAAATTAATACGATAAACAGATATAATAATATTGGCTCCATCTCTCTTTGTTATCATTTTAGTGAAAATAACTCGTTTAGTCAGACATTATAATTTTCTGAATAAATTTAATTTATATCGAAAGAGAATAAACAAGTTTAACATTACTTCATTATTATTATTTAGAATGTTTCATGTTTGTATATAAACTAAGGCAATTACAGGTAATGAATAATATTGCTTACTTCTCTAGAATTTGCCGTGTTAATTATGGTATGCATATGTACATATTTTTTTTTCTCGTCTATTCTTACTATTTAATTTAAGATAGGCTTAGCGTAAAAAAGGCTTTGATATCTGGATTAATAAAAGTTTTGGAGTGGTTAATCCAAAAATAGTAAATGGTTTTCGATCTTTCTTAAATAAGGTATATACACGATAAAAGTCTTGGAGTTTGCTGTAAAGATCTATCGCTTCGATCTGTGGTATTATAAATTCTTTGGGGCCACAATAACCAGGAAGAAGTAGTCGACCAGCTCAAAATGTCAGTAACCTAGGCTCCTCTTCCTTGTTTTTCTTCCTTTGGAAATTACACTGATATATAACTATAATGTATAACCTTGAACAAGGCTTAAGGCTGTACAAAATTACACTGATATATAACTGTAATGTGTAACCTTGAACAAGGCTTAAGGCTGTACAAAATGTTATATACGTTGTCTAAAGTATATCTTCACCTGCTGCTTGTTGCTTTACGTACACTTTGTTTTCTTTCATTTTAGATGAATATATTCTCAACTGTGAGTGGATATCGGTGAGGATTTGGGATCTCCACTTTTGATGAGGCTTTTTTATGAAATGTTGAATAGATTTTGCTCTCTTTCCCATACAGTTTTATTATTGGTATAAATGCTTTTTTTTATCACGCATATATTGAAATGTATCTGCCAGGTGGTTGGTATCGTTTTCATTGAAAGCAGTATTCAAATTGAAAATTGGTAACTAAGTGCCCGATTAAATGTACTTACTTTTTTTTGTGTGTGTAGATTTTGCTTGTATAAGATGATCTTATGAGCAATGTAGTTGCCATGTGTGTACAAATAATTAAACTGCTAATTTTGGTGTTTCTTAAAAAAACTATATTATTCAAGTCAACTATTCCGTTTCTTGAACTGCAGTATATGTCGTAAAAACATATTTTTCAAAATATCGTCGAAATCTCTTTTTAAAAAGTTTTTGACGTGGGGAGGAATGAAAATGAAAGAAAAATATTTTCGTATATTCTATGTGTAATTAAGTATCCACTGGACCCGGTGAAGACAGCGTTCATTGAACCCGGTGAAGTTTAATGTAAAGAGACAGGTATATATCTATGTATTACGTGTGTATGTAACATCATGACCGTGGTAGAGGGCTTGTATTTGTCAATCTAGGTAGGCAGAAAATACAGTATACATGCTGGGAAAAAAATGTTTTTGTTAAAATGTATTTGCCATATTTTATGAAGTTGTTTCTATTGGCATTAAGAAATTTATTACTGTCAATGTAAAATATAATTGAGTTTTCCTGGTTGATTTGTCTACCAGGCTATTTAATTGTAATACGAATCTTGCTGTAAAGACGATCCATTATGCGCGCGTGTGTGTGTGTGTGTGTATATATATTAGAAACATTTCCACATTTTTGTAAATGAACTTTGACTTACTGGCTCGATAACCCTACTTTTTGGTATGGTAACTGGAAACTGTCCGACGGCTATTTTGTTTTAGGATTTTTATCCAATAAGGAAGATAGAAAAAAAAACAACCTGAAATTGGACACATTTTCACTTTTTTTAAATAGCCTTTTGGCTTTTAATCTAAAGACACAAGTACTTAATCAGTTAAATGAGTTAGTTATTGCCTTCCATAAAGCAGGGTATGCAATTAACGTCTAATGAGGTCATTAGGGATCGAGTAACGAAAGAAGAAAGGGCAACATTATCTAACATTGTTTTTTATACAATTTTTGCTTCCTTAATGAGTACCCTCAGCTATTCGTTGGTAAAGAATAATCCAAGAGTTAGCGGTAGGTGATGTTGAATAGCTGCCATTCCTCTAGTCCATCACTTCAAAATTAGGGACGGCTAGCACAAACGGTTCTCTAGTAGCTTTGCACGAAATTCAAAACAAACAAATATATTCAAGCCATATAAACGGTTAAAAAATTAGCCGAAATCTCAATATTTTTTATTCAAAAATAGACCCACAAGTGTTTGTTGTATAAATAGTTTGGAAAAGTTGTTGTTTGTTATTAAGCACAAAGCTACACAAAGGGCTATCAGTGCTCTGCCCAACACGGGTATCGAAACCCGGTTTCTAGCGGTATAAGTCCGCAGACATACCGCTGTGCCACTGAGGAGCGTTTAGAAAAATTGTCTTTAAAAACTGATTGCCTCTCATCGGTTATTTTAGAGTTTGAGCTGTAAATAATAATAATAAACTAAGCCTAATCATTCAGTTCATGCAATGAAGCTATTTATTTTCACTTCAGCACAGCAAAGATAGCCCATCTTGTATCTTTGCGTTTAACAACAACAAATATTTTTGTTAGAAAACTTATGATGCATTGGCCGTGGTATGAGATGTTAGTACGGTTTTACAAGATAGAAAAACAAACAAACGACGGAGATTACATATACATAACTCCGTAAGTTCATTTAAATCCAGTTTGTAGTACTTTTTTTTTCACTTTAATCCTGTTAAAAATGAGTGAACCTGATTGAAAAAAAATAATAACTCGTTGTTCATTTGTACTTTCAAACATTAAATGAGAATTGTAAATACTTCATATTCATGTAGTAAGCATAATGCTGAACTAATGTAGTTCTTAAAAATAGAAATACTTAAACTACACCCTCTGTCTTGTAAGCTATAATGTCACGTGCCTTCTGCAAAACGCGCCCTCTTTATATTTATGTCAAAAAACCGTTCACAATTACCTCATAAAAAAACAAAACTGTCTCGATTATTGTTTCGATTTGGGTGAATTCAAGTTCATTTCCCTTGACAAAACGTATTTACACGCAATGTAAATACATTAATACACCTACAGTTTCGCGATTAAAAACACTATCATCGATTTTAGGACTTTTTTGTTTATTGTGGAGGATTCTATAGTGACATCATAAACTTGTGTGTCAGCCTTGGAAAGGACGAAATACTGCGTACAAGACTGGAAAAAATAATTTGTTAAAAAAAGTTAAGATATTTATCATATTTCACAAGATGTTTGTGGGTTAGTTACTACACATAATATGATAGATAGTAGCAAATTACAAAAAAAAAAATGTAGGCAGTTTTCGCATTAGAGCGTCGCCTCAACCTAGCGGAACAAAATGATACCAAATAACTATATATATATAAATAAGAGGGTCGGTGTTTCATGGGTGGTATAACAATAGCTAAAGATTACGTCTTCAGAAGATTATTGCACAATCAAATTTTATACACAGGCAACATAATAGTCTAAAGAGTTTATAGTAGACAAATTGCTTGCGTAGGTGGAAAAATGAAGCAGTAAAATATGACTTATTATAGATGGCGTTTTGAACAACTATTATTATTCAGGGTTATTATTAGTATTTTTATTTCAACGAACTAATAAGTGACAGTCTCGCAAAATGCCTTCAATAATTAATGTTATATTCTTAAGTAACAACAATATTTCATTTCCCCAACCACAAAAAGAGAACTTGATAACCCGAACTCGTTTTAAAGATTTTATTCGTTTGTTGTTAAACGCAAAACTACACGATGGGCTATCTACGCTGTGCTCGCCACGGAAATCGAAACCCGTTAATTAGCATTGTAAGCCTTTCGACTTACCGCTCAATCACTGGGTAAATCGTCCTTTTCAGGAGTATCAGTGGTAAGTCAGAGGGCTTACAATGCTATCGAGTTTCAGTGTACCATATGTGTACAAAAGCATCTTTAAGTAGACAGGCAAACTTTTCTGAAGTCCTAATGATCGAGTTTCTTATTTTGTGATTAATATATTTTATTATCCTACTTGACTTCATAATATCATTACTGATACAATCCGTATGGCAAACTTTAAAAATTACCATGGAAAGATTAGAGAGATAATCATGATCAGAACAAATAAGGTACAAACCAACAGATGTTATGAAACGTACTGATTGAGAAAATGTCATGTCCACGATACATCTTACCCATTTTTTTTTTTTTTACTTCACAGATATGGCGAGAGCTGTGATCGGACTGTATCTTGTGGGCTTTTTGTTTCTTTTCTTTTCGTTTTTCACGGGCGTTGCAGGATGCTGGAAACGCTCCCATGGAAATATCGTTGCCACTGGCCTTCTACAACTTCTAGCAGGTAATATTATGGACTAAGTGACTTCTTAGCGTAGAGTGATAGGCCTTAAACGTTGCTATTGAAATGTTCATATATCTTCGTATATGATTTTAGGATTTGTTAACTATAAATGTGTGAAATGAAAAAGTATATATTATAGTGTTTATAGGTCTTTCTTAGCATCTTTTATGTTATGACAATTATGTGTAACATATAGATAACATGTTCATATTTTTTACCCAATCTAAATTAAAAGACATAAGTTGTTAATCCTTACGCCAGGATGTAATAATCGCCCTAAATATTTACGCCAGGATGTAATAATCGCCCTAAATATTTCAATATTACTTGTGATAAATGCAGTGAAACGAATTTTTTTTTTAGAATATTAACTACCAAAATAATATCTACTTGTGGCTTAGATATCAACAATTAGATTGATGGTGATATTTCAAGTCTTAAACAAATCGGGGAATAATCAACCTAATTCATCATAGCATTGTGGTTTGTACGTTCTTTGGAAATAGTGGTAATGTTTCTTTCGTTTCTCTTTCAGCTCTTGTGGACGCTGGTGCCATGGGACTGTGGCACGGAGTTCAGTATTACGATTATCAGAAACTTCGAGATAGTATGGCGTACTTTGGCTGGCCAGATGTAAGCACAGTTATCAGTATACATCAATCTATACTCGCAAATCTTTATACACACACACACACACACACACACACACATATCTATATATTAAGAAAAAAACTCGATAGGTTTGGGGCGGGGGGGGGCGGTTCTGCGAGAAAATTTTAAATTAAAAGGGGACCTCGGGTTACTAAGTTTTGAGAACCGCTGATCTAGGCGGTAAATACATCGCACGCTTTCCAGTTTATCGTGGTATGCAAAATTTTGAGTTGGGAATCTGTAAAAAGTGTCAATGATGCAGAAGCAGTAATAATTAAATCAAAAAATAACAGCAATACGTTTTTATACATGACCTGCATCTACATCTTTTAAAGTTCAGTTGTTGTTTTCATTGTATGTTTTCCACGAAGGAAATACCATTGTTGCATTAGAAAATGGGAGATTAGCATCAAGTGAAGTATTAGATATCAAGGAAAAGTAAATTTTGAAAAAGCCAACTGAATTTCATTAATAGGTTTAACGTTCAACCACCATTTTAAGTTTGTACTTGCTGTTGGTACAAGCTTTTTACCATTAGGAGAACAAAGAGGTCAACTTCAACAAAGAAGATTTACTTATCACCTGGTGATTTTTTAACAAATTAATCTCTCTACTGATATTTCATAAGAAGCATCTTCCTTCTCACATGAAAAAGGAATTGGGCGTGGGTTGTTGTAAGGCAGAGCAGCGTCATCTTTTTTTTATAATTTCAGTTTTAAATTAATTCCACACAAGACTGCGAACAGAGATCAAAAGTCCGATGGATGTTGTACTTCTACCACTTTCCAAGTCATACTTTGTAGGGCCCCGGCATGGCCAGGTGGTGAGGACGCTCGACTCGCAATCTGCGGGTCGCGGATTCGAATCCCCGTCACACCAAACATGCTCGCCCTTTCAGCCGTGGGTGCGTTATAATGTGACGGTCAATCCCACTATTCATTGGTAAAAGAGTAGCCCAAGAGTTGGCGGTGGGCCGTGATAACTAGCTGCCTTCCCTCTAGTCTTACACTGCTAAATTTGGGACGGTTAGCGCAGATATCCCTCGTGTAGCTTTGCGCGAAATTCAAAACAAACTTACTTTCTATAAAGATGCAAATGCGCTGTTATTAATTGGATAGTCCTCCGGTGGGACAGCGGTAAGTTTACAGACTTGCAACGCCAAAACTCGGGGTTCGATTTTTCTCGGTGGACAAAGCAGATAGTCCAATTGGATAAAGAGTTGACCTCTGTCTTGAAATTATTTTTTGAAGAATCGGTTGAAATCTTCATTAAAAAAAGAATTCTTAACGTTCATCATTCATGTTACATTTTCTGCTGCTGACCCAACTTATAACTAACATATGCATTCCCTGTAGAGGAACACAACTCAGATGGCCTATTGCGTGGCTTTACGCTTAACAACAACCAACACTTTCGTGATTTGTACTTTTATATTTTTAAATGAATTTGCTCTAGAACAGTGTTATTGTGCAAGAAAAGAAGTGGGTCAACTAACCCAACAGTTTTTGGTGGTTGGGATTCAGGCGGGCAACGCTAAGTGTTAAATGGAAAATGAGTAAATACCGTGTTTTCTAAAACAATAAAAGGGTACTTGAGGATATCACCGGTGAATATTTAATTTCATTATCTAAATTTTGTTTTCGTTCATGTCCTACAAATACGAGATATTATTATTATTACTGTGAAGCTATTTCACGTACAATCTTAGTGTTAATAAGTTTTATTATTCCACAGGTCCTGAAACACAAAGGTCACACCACCTTCAACTATGGTTGGTCCTACATCCTAGTTTGGATTGGTGTGGGAATGTGCCTGTTGACCTCCATCTTGTTTCTTAGTTCCGCTCATTGCCTTCGACGGGAGAAGAAGACCGAACAAGCAAAGAACATCCAGTACCTCATGCCTGTTTATCCAGACAAACGACAACCGTACAACTACGCGGCTTATCCTGGCCCTTACTATCAATATGGCTACTAGGCTGGATTTTTTTTTCAAGTCTTCCATTTAACAACAATGCTTATGTTAAGACTGTTTAACCGTGTTCCATCAGTATAATTTTTTTTACAAGTTGATGTAAATAAAGCCATTGAAATTTTCTTTGTTAACATTACCAGGTACGGTGAAGACTTCGAACAGAAAACACTGTCAGCTTAAAAAAGATGTTAGAAAAAATAATCCAGGCTACGTGTATATCGACAAGAGTATCACTACGCAGATTTTTAACTTTTTTTTTTTTTAGAAAAATTAACTAAGAGTTGTTAAAGCATACAAGACATTTTTGGAAGGGCCAGCATCATTGTGTTAATACGGGTTTATAAAAAATTACAACTATTTATATAAGGAAATTTCATTAACTCTTAACCACCCAATTAGTGTCGAAACAATCACAACGTTTGCAGTATAAAAAAAAATCTTTAATTTTTTTTCCCGCTGGATTTATCCAAATATCGTACATTAATTTTATTTTTAATATTTTTAACATATCAGAATTATGTTGCTCACCTGTAATAAAGTTATATGATAAATATTGTTAACAGAACTAAATTATGTGGCTTAGCTGTAATAAACTTGTATGATAAAATAAGAACATTAAAATCAGAATGTTTCCTAGCTTGAACAACTGTATCTCGTAACATTTTACGTTCTAAATGTGTTTTGTTGATTTTAGAAAATTACATATCGGATATCTGCCCCGTTCTTCGGAATTATAAAACATGTTCGGTAAATGTTTGATATTAGAAAGTTTCGTCCAGCTGGTAATGACATCATTCGCAGAATGAATGGTGGCCACACAGGACGGGTATCGCCCTCTATTGGCCATCGATTTGTGTTTCCTGTAGCCTCGTTGATTTTATCGTTACTTCACGAATAGTGTTCATTGTATTGATTTTCAAACACGAACATGAAACTTTATGAAAAGAAAAAAAAAACTGCTAATTTTTTTAGATAAGTTAAAAACCTGCAGTAACGAAAAAAAATCTGTTGATGTTCTCTTCATTAAGATTTGACTGTTTTGTTAAGAAAACTGGATTCTAAGTGTTAATAATTAAGTGTAGACTTTACTAGGACACAAAATAAGGAATTAAATTTTGAACTTAAAAATCGACCAATTACTGATGCGAAATGAAAATATGCAATTTGGGTTGTGTACAAGCAGCGTATTTAATGCGTGTTCGTCAATTACCTATCAAAGGAAAGCCTAAACTCTTACGATATTAATACAATGTGTTAATCAAGGTTGAGTATAGTAAGTCAACGCACACTCATCAATCGGGAAGTTTAAGAGTTTGAGAGCACTACGTCATCACGTGATAATGAAAGAAAAACACACACCATAAAAGGTAATCTATATCGATCTGGTGTGTTTTCAGCTTCCTCAAATATATATATATATATATATATATATATATATATATAGTTACTATTGACGTA